CAAAACTCTCCTTTCTCTCACGTTTTCTTTTTCCAGATTTCTGCAGCCGTCCCCCTCTGTTTTGCTCTCCCTCTCTTGCAGGTTTTCAGCCGTCCCTTTTTCTCACGAAGCTCTCAAACTCTCAGCCGTCCACTCTCAGTCTTCCTGCCCTCCTCTCACGGAAGCTCTCTTTTTCGGCTACCCTAGCTATCTCTCCTCTTAGCCCGTTAACTCTCAAAAACTCTCCTGGTTTTTCTTTTGCCTTTCAGCCCCAAAGAAATCCCCCTAGCTGCGGCTGTTTTTCCTTTTCTATTTATATGGGGCACTCAACCCTAAAACCCCAGCCATTTCCTCTAAAATTGCAGCCAAAGGGCTGCCCAAGTCCTTCATTGCAAGCTGCGAAAAAACGCAGCTTGCATGTCGCGGATTCCTTTTTTTTTTTTTTTTTTTTAACTTAATACAAAATTGATAATAATGAAATTAAGTAAGAAAAAAACAATTTAATTAACATTGGACAAAAATAAACAAACTAGAAATAATAAACAACAAAGTTGCGATTTTTCATTCTTTTTCTTTTTTTCTTCATTTTCATCTTTTTCCCTTTTCTTTTTCTTCATGAAAACATGGAATTTAAATCAAAACAACTAAAGCATATTTTTTGAATGCTTTTTCTTTTTCCCGAGAAATTCTATGCTAAAGCTTAAAAATAAAATAATAAAATAAAATAAAAACTAAAAAACTAAAAACACTGAAAATTTGGTGTCTACACCATCACGTACCAAGTATGGCAACCCTAGATTCTATGGAAGTCATGTTCAGAATTCAAACGAATGATCACATGGCGTTGATTCAAAAGACCCACCGAGAACGAGGCCTTCAAGTCCAAGGTGTTGAAGAATTTGCGAATCTCCTCCATAGCCGGCCGCCCCTAGAGAACTTGCCCACTAAGGCAAGATGGAATGGTGGCCCCTCCACCACCTGTTGAAGCAAATAAAGGTTATTTTTTGCAATATAATAAATAAATAGCAACGTCAATAATAATAGTTAGACTTTAAGATTTTAAGACTCCTTGTTTCTATAACCTCAATTTTTGGGAGTTTCCAAACTACATAGACACCAAACTTTACTCATTTTGAATTGATTTTATTTGTTAGATTTTACTAAGTGATTATTTTTTTATTTATTTTATTTCATTCTAAGACGACTTTTCTTATTTTTGTAGGTTCTATAAAGAAAAGGAAAAAAAAGACAAAAGAAAAGAAAAGAAAGAAAGAAAATTATACATGGAAGAGAAAAGAACAAAAAGAAAGAAAATTAGGACATTAGAGTTCAATTTTTCAAAAAATCATTTCATTAAACCCCAAAACTCAATCCCAAGACCCATTGAAAAAAAACCCAAAAGAAAACCCAACAAAAAAGAAGCAAAAGCCTCACAAAATAAGAAATAAAGCCCTAACAAAAGCTAGAAATTGGCGTAGACCTATAAGCTTAAGAAAAAAAATTCTTCTTCTCACACATGGCAAGTGCACTACTATCTTCTTTACAATATAGGTGATCATTTCTTTGCAAGTTCTTTCTTGAATTAGTTAGAATCTTTTCCTCCATGCTTTGTTCATAATAGTATAAGGATAATGAAGCACTCTTTTATCTCTATCTAACACTAACAACCAATCCATCAAGGGATAAAAAAAATAACACATTATCTCCTTTTCAGAGTTTAATAAAAAAAAATGAAATAATTATTCCTGAAAACCTGATAGATGAAAAGCAATATTTAGCCAAGTTGAATTGATCCTATGATTGCGACTAGGGTTTGTGACTGCAACTAGGGTTTGCGGCTGTGGACGCTGCCATGGCAGTCCTCCAACCCCCTACTGGGAGCATTCCTCTCCAACCTTTTCCCGAAAATCCTTCACTGGTTTGTTCTCCACAAACTCATCCATGCCGTCTCTATCCATCTAGGCGACTCCATCCACTCACAAGGGAGAATCGGTTGTTCTGTTCTCTCAAGATGCTCTAGAAAACCTTGCTGCTCCTTATCGTTTTGCGTTAGTGGAAAAGTTCTCTAGGGGATGGCTTAAGCTGGAGGAAATACGTAGGTTACTTTTAATGCTAGATTTGTGAGAAACGGCCACGGTTGGCCTACTAGATTCATGACATGTGTTGGTGCAATTTCATAATGAAGCTGACCTCCACAGGTTCTGGTACAAGGGGATTTGGTATGTTCATGGGTTTCCGATGAGGGTCTTCAAATGGTCACCAGCGTTCTATGTTGATCGCGAACCCTGTGAGGACCCGAATTTTACTTACATTTATTTTATTTTATTGGCTTATTTAATTATTTATTTAACCGTTTACTCCGAATAATTTATTTCAACCATTTTAAATCTATTTACATGGAACAAGGTCTCACTTATATTTTTAAAATGTCCCGTTAGCAAATTTAATTTTTCTACGGCTCGACTAGTAAGGAATAGCGAATACATATTTTTCGAGGCAATATTCGGTTCGAGAGTGCAATAATCTTGGAGAATTAAGAATGATTAATAGTAGATTAAGAAAAGTTAATTGAGGGATTAGACGTGAGTGAGTGAAACTAAGCTTTTACCGCGTGCGCGTCGAAAGTTTCTCGAAGGCCACACCGTGCGACTAATTGGAGATTGGAGGATTTAATACTAGACTAGTAAGTGTAAATAATTACAAAGTTAGAGGAATTACCTTGGAGGATTAGTGTATAAGTGTAACAAACAAGAGAGAAAGTGGTAGTATGAAACCCTATTGATCCACTATTAAGATTTGACTATTGCACAAAACTTAAGGGCTACTTTTCTATATTCTTTCTCTCCAAGTTTCATCACTCAAACTCCCTCATCTCTCTCTCCTTTCTTGGTCAAACCTCAAGGAAGAACAAGGGGAAGAGAAACTCCATTCTTTAGGACTACAAATGTTATCATTGAGCTCAACCCCATTGGTAGTTGATTGAATCGAGCCGACAAGGGTTTGGTCGTGACAATTAATGAGCCTTGGGTAAAGTTATAAGGAATCTTGTAGTATGAGAGACTCTTGATTCCGGTATACTCGAGTAATACCACAGTGCAAGTGTTTGGAGTGCGGGCCCGGTAGGGGAATGTTTGGTGGAAGGAATGGGAGAGAAGAGGAGTCTACGGTTGGTTACTTTCAAACATTGACGGAGAGTCAATGAGACCGATCAAGAATTCAAACGAGGAAAAGGGCTCTTGAGAGCCACCCGTATCCTTTTATCCTCATTATTAATGTGTGGCTTTATTTATTTTGGTAAATTGGACTGTTAAGCTTGATGTATCCATGAACTTGGTTGCTTGAGTTGTATTCTCACTGGGCAATTAGCTCACCCCGTTCCTTTTGTTTTCCTTACAGGAATATGACTCTTTTGGAATGAATTTTGATAAATGGTTGCCAAATGAACTAGATGAATGACTCTTTTGTATTGTATATAAAATGGGACCCTAAATGTATCATTAGGGCCGTTTTCACTTTTGTTTTGGCAAACCATATATGTAGTGACTTTTGTATCACTTTTAAATGTCATTTTGGTTTGTAAAGGCTAAATGTTATGGGGTATATGTAATTCGATGTTTGGTTGGGTTCGGACGAGTCGGTTACTATTCATGGCCGACTCCGGGTTTCATTTTCTTTTATTTTGGGTTATTTTGCCCTTTTGCCTTATTTGCGCGCGTTATAAGTTCCGGAACGTGAAAGATCGCTCTAATCTGATCCGTAGTCCTGGCGAGCGCTGGGCAGGCAGTCCGCTAACCTCTTTGGTTCGCCTTAGGGGAAAGTGGGGCTGTCACACCTATCCTCCAATTCTTTCCCTTATCTTACTAACACCCCTTACTCTCCCAACACCTAGTATACAAAACTTAACCTAATTGGCCGAATTTTATCGAACTTACTGCACTAGTGGGTCCCACATCTGGTATACACTCTTAAAATCTTATAAACTAACTTATACTAGAAAAAATGATTTCAAAACCATCTTTACTCATAAAAATTATTTTCACAATTTTTCGAATAAAGAAAATGTAGAAAAGCATGCAATTAAAAGAAAATAAAACCTAGCAATTAAGAAAATTACGGGTTCTCACAGAAAGAATTGAGGAATAAGCGGATTCCGTTGGTGAAAGTTCTATGGAGAAACCATGAACTAGAGGACTCATGTTTTTATTTTTAAAATAATTATTTTTATAATTATTTACCCTAGTATTGATTAATTATATTACCGTTACATGAATCATTTTTAAATTTCGCTATGTCGCGCACGAATCAGAAGTTCACGTATTTCGTGTCAAAACAATTAAGTGGAGATTTAAGAAACTTATACTCGACTACTAAGAGTGATAATTGTGAGGACCCGCAAATTTTTCTTATTTTATATTATTTTATTTTATTTTCTCGTATGCATTTTCTTCATTATACCTTCTTATATTGATTTTTCCAGACATTTTATAAGTGAGTAGAGTTTTTAAATCATTTTTCTAGTTTAAGTTAGTTCATATTAAGGTAATTTTTTAGTTAGACTAAATGATTAGGGTACTACATGGTTCACCAGAGGACTCCTAAAACAGAATTCTAGGAAGACGCACGTAAAGGTCGGGCTAGGGTTTCATGGCGGCTCTCCTGCATGGGGAGGCGCCGCCGTTCGTTCGGCCGTCGAAGACGTTCGCCTCCCTGCTCTCTCAAGCTCCTTCTTCTTCGTCCTCTGGTTTTGGCCATCTCAGTACATACAAGGGGGAGCCATCGTTGGTCATCTCCCGTCAAGATATGATGCAGATTGCGGCGCCTTACTCTAACGCGCTAGTCGGCAGGTTTGCCATAGGTCGTCCGTCCATGGAGCTTATTCGCAAATTTATTGTTTCGTTGGGCTGAGGGGTGAGTGCCCGATTGGTTTATTAGATTCCAAGCACATTCTGTTACGTCCATCCGAGGAGGAAGATTACACCAGACTTTGGTGTCACAGGTCTTGGTACGTTGGCAAGTTTCATATGTCCCTGTCGAAATGGACAATTGATTTTAAACCAGGAGCAGAGTCATCAATTGCACCAGTTTGGGTCAATTTTCCGGGTCTTCCATTGCCGTTTTTTGAAAAGCAATTTTTGCTTAAGCTAGGTACCTTGCTTGGTCGTCCCTTGAAAGTGGATGAAGCTACGGCTTCACTGAAGCGTCCATCTGTTGCCCGTATATTGTTGGAGATCGATGTTTTGCAGTCTCCTAAATCCAGGATTTGGATTGGAGATGATCAGTGGGGTTTTTGGCAGAAAATTGAGTACGAAGGGTATCCCGCTTATTGTGGTTTTTGCTCGTTGATTGGTCATACAGAATCTGTCTGTCATCGCAAACATCCGGAATTGCGGCCGGTGCGTCGTTCTGGACCATCAGCTACGCCACACGTCAGACAAGTTTTTCAACCTAAGGGGGTACCTGCTGTTGAGGAATCTCCTCCTGTTGTGGATCCTGGGCTTGTGGTAGCCATGGGGGTAAAAGAGCCTGAAACTGGTATTTGTGCGACAGATGTTGTCATCCCTGAGATTCCACCACCGTCTGATAACCCTGTTAGGGGAAATTCTTCTTCAGCTAGTGTTCCTATTCTTGTTCTCTCTAATGCATCTCGGGGGGCTGAGGCGGATGCGCAGAATTTTCTCACTCTTGTTCCCCAGGAATCTTCTTCTCCGGCTAAGGCTTTATCGGACAATATCCTCTCTTCTGATGGGGATGACCGTCTGTTGGCGTTGAGTTCGAGGGTTGGTAGAGAGAGGAAGAGAGAGATTTCCTCTTCTCTCTCTCCTACACGGCATCACGGTCATGTTCGACTGGTGCGGGCTAATTCTGAAGGCCGGTCGGGGGTGAAAGGTCTTTCCTTAGTTGAGCTTAAAAGTTTTCAGGATCGGCTGCCCGGCAGAATCCAAGCATCTAAGCTTTGTTGCGATCCGGTCGCTACGGGAGTTTCTCTGGATGATGCCGACTCTCATTTGCTGCAACAGTTGATTCAAGGCCACAAGGGTCGTAGTAGACAGTCCAGGAAACGAGAAGGTATGACCTCATCTGCGCACTATAATCTTCGGTCTAATAATGTTAAATCCAATTAAGTTTATAGTGTGGAACATTCGGGGTGCGTCGAACAGGGATTCATTGCGGTATATTCGTTGCACTTGTAGATCACATAATATTAGGTTATTGATTCTGTTGGAACCGTTAGCCAATGTCCCTCAGTTGGAGAGTGTGCAGCTGTTCTTGGGATTTGATTTTGCTCGGTCTTTCGTGCATAATAAAATCTGGGTATTTTGGTCTTCAGAGGCTAGGTATTCTTTTGTAGAAGCTGCGGATCAATTAGTTCATATATATTTGTCTTTCCCGTCTGGTTCTTCCATTGTTATTTCGGCTGTCTATGCGAAGTGTAACAGAATTGGTAGGAGACGGCTATGGGAGGCTTTGGAGTAATTTTCTACTTCTACTACGCTTCCATGGATTGCCGCAGGGGACTACAACGTTGTTTCTTGCGCGGAGGAAAGGATTGGAGGATCTGCTCCCAATATTCGTGATTTGGAGGAATTCAACTCTGCTTTACATCGGAGTGGGCTATTCCCAGTTCAATTCGATGGGTCTGCGTACACATGGACCAATGGTCGCATGTGGCAGCGTCTCGATCGAGCGGTCGTTAATGGCGTTTGGCTGTCTGATGTAGAGATGACTCGAGTAGCTCATCTTCAACGAGGGCGGTCTGATCATTGTCCGTTGTTGATCAGGGGAGGAAGTACGTCAACTAGGCGCTCTTCATTCCGGTTTCTTAATGTCTGGCAAGGTCATTCCAGTTTTCAAACAACAGTGAAGTCTGCGTGGGCTCAGACTGTGTCTGGAGTGGGAATGCAGAAATTCTTTAATAAGTTGCAGGTGGTTAAACGAGTTTTATCTCGATGGAATGGGCGGGTCTTTGGGAATGTCTCTCAAAGGGTCCAAGTGGCAGCGGATAATTTATTGGCCAAGGAAATTTTGTATGACCAGAATAGAGATACGCTGTCGAGGATGGCAGTCCACGAGGCAAGGGCAGTTCATTCTCGGGAGCTTGCGTTGGAATGTGAATTCTGGAGACAAAAGGCAGCGATCAAGTGGATCAAAGAGGGCGACGCTAATACATCCTTTTTCCATGCAGCAGTTAAGCAGAAACGCAGCTCTAATTTTATTTCACGCATTAGGGGTAACGGGGATTGTTGGTTTGATAGTATTGATGATATTAAGCTGTCGGCGGGTGATTTTTTCTCCTCTTTGTTCACGGCCGACCGCGCTGCTTGTTCTGGCAGCAGACCGTCTATTGATCTGCCCAAGCTTACGCAGGAAGACAATGACTTGCTGCTGAAATCACCATCGGTAGAAGAAGTTCATAAGGTAATTTGCTCCCTGGACCCTCAGAGTGCTGCGGGCCCTGACGGGTTTGGAGGGGGCTTTTATCAAAGTTGCTGGGAGTGTATCAAGGATGACTTCATGGATGCGGTGAAGGATTTCTTCGCTGGTGCAACAATGCCTCGTGGGTTTTCAAGTACCACGATCACATTGCTGCCTAAAAAGGAGGGTGCGTGTGAGTGGAAAGATTTCCGACCAATAAGCTTATCCAATGTTAGCTCGAAGATCATTTCTAAGATTTTGTCGACCCGCATTAATCAGTTTCTTCCTAAGTTGATTTTAGAGTTTCAGACTGGCTTTATACCGGGTAGGGGAATACAGGATAATGTTCTCCTCGCACAGGAATTAATCCTGGATTTGGACAAGAAATTGCGTCACCCTAACGTAATATTGAAATTGGATATGGAGAAGGCTTATGACAGGGTGGAATGGGGGTTTTTATTATACATGCTTCGTGAATTCGGCTTTAAGGAGGGTGTGGTAGATCTGATTTTTCGTTTAATATCCAATGTGTGGTTTTCTGTGTTGGTTAATGGGGAGCTCACGAGTGTTTTCAAGTCGACTAGAGGGGTTCGTCAGGGGGATCCTCTATCTTCCACTCTTTTCCTTTTTGTATCTGAATTTCTTGGCCGGGGCCTCCAGCAGCTGTTTACAAACACCCCGGGTTTTAGATTTTTGTCTAAGGGAGGGCTGGTCCCGTTCCTTGCGTTTGCCGATGACATGGTTAATTTTACGCGGGCATCGTCTGAATGTCTGCTGGCTGTGTCGTCCCTTCTTCGACAATATGAAATTCTTTCGGGCCAAAAAATTAATCTCTCCAAGAGTCGTTTCCTTTGTTCGTCGAAGCTTCCTTCGGAGATTATCACCTTAATTCAGCAAGTTACGGGATTTCAAGAGCAGTCTTGGCCTGTGAAATATTTGGGAGTTCCACTTATTCGTGGTCGTAAGAAAAGTATCTTTTTTGATGGAGTTTTTGCTTCTGTTCGAGCAAAGCTGCATCATTGGAGCTCCCGGTTTCTTTCTGCGGGGGGGAAGCTCATCTTGCTTCGTCATGTGTTGAACTCAATGCCTCTCTATCTGTTGCAGGTTTCTAAACCACCTAAGGGGGTTTTTCTTAGGTTAGGCAGGCTGTTTAATGCGTTCTTGTGGGATGGCAAGGATGGTAGACGGATTCATTGGTCGTCCTGGGAGAAATTATGTTTCCCTGTTGAAGAAGGGGGGTTGGGTTTTCGATCTCTGTTGGACTTAGAGAAGGCTTTTGCAATGAAATTATGGTGGAGAATTCGACAAAAGAGTTCTCCGTGGGCAATCTTTATGCATCGCAAGTATATTGGCGGTCAGCATCCTTTCTTGGCAGCGGCTGGCGTTGGGTCGGCAACATGGAAGCGGGTCTGCTCGGTTCGGGCTATAGCTGAAGATAATATTCGTTGGCGTCTTGGCGAGGGGTTCATCGATTTATGGCATGATCGATGGCTCCTCGATGAACCGCTTAGCAGGCAGTTTGATGGGGCGCCTCCTCATTGCTTAGTAGCTGAGTTTTATAGCTCTACGGGGTGGAATTTTCAACGGCTCCTCCAGGTTCTTCCTCGATCTGTTGTTAATAATATTTCACGAACAATTGTTGATCCGGCTCTTAAGGACGAATTGGTTTGGGCTCCTTCGGCGGATGGTACGTTCTCTGTGTCATCAGCCTGGGAGTTAATTAGACAGCGGCGTAACCTGTCCTTGGTTTGGCGTGGAATTTGGTGTCCATTGCTGCCTTTAAAAATGTCTTACCTAGCTTGGAGGGTTTTGGCTGAATTTCTTCCGCTGGACGACCAGCTCCGTTCTAGAGGATTTTCTTTGGTTTCCAAATGCGACTGTTGTGGTGATTCAGCGGAGTCTTTGCATCATATTTTTTTGCAGGGCAGATTAGCAAGCGCTGTTTGGCAGCATTTCTTCCTGGCTTGCGGAATCCCGTGGGGATCATTCTCATGCGTTTCTTCGCTGCTGGTGGTGTGGTTTCAATCTTCTGGGAATGGGCGGCTGAATCATGTTCGGTGTGCTATACCAGTTGTAGTGCTGTGGTTTCTGTGGCGTAGTAGGAATGATGCTCGGTTTGGAAATATTCCCTCGGCCTATTCTAAAGTTATTTTCGATGTCAATGGGTGGTTGGTTGCTACGGGGGCTGCACGCATGTTAAACAGATTTCAGTTGGAGGGGGATACAGATACGTATTTTGCTCGGTACTTTCGGATCAAACCGGGTAAATCATTACGGCCGAAGGCTATATCATGGATGAAGCCTCCTCGGGGGTCAATCAAGCTGAACACCGACGCAAGTGTGACTAATGGGTTGGCAAAAGGCGGTGGAGTGATACGCGATTTTGAAGGGAAGATGCTTGGTGCTTTTTATAAAGAGTTTGGAGAATGTGAAGTGGTTCATGCGGAGGGATTAGCTTTGTTGACTGGGCTACAGTGGTGTGTTGAGACAGGGTTGTCAGGTATTTTAGTGGAAGTGGATTCTCTAGCATTGGCACGGCTGGTTACTAGTCAATCGGTTGGTAAGTGGCCGTTGTGTAGCGTCTTAAGTCAAATTCGTCTGTTGCTCGGTAAGGTGAATGGGGCCATTTCGCATATTTATCATGAGGCGAATGCCGTGGCAGACAGCTTAGCGGCGTTATCTCTGGAGAGTTCATGGGTTACTTTCCAATCTCATCAGCAGCTGCCAAGTAGAGCTCGGTCATTGATTCATTTGGATGCAATAGGTTATCCATATATTCGCAATGTTAATTGTTAGGAATAGTTTTTCCTACGGTTCCTGGGATGTATTGAACGGTGGGACTTGTTTCCTCGTTCGTTGTTTTTCGCATTTAATAAAATTTGGGGAGCTCTCTCCTTTTATAAAAAAAAAAAAAAAAAATGTTAAGTTTGAAGCGTATTATGGATGTGGGGCCCGCTAGTGCGCTAAGTGCGATAAATTTTTGCCGATTAATTGAAGTTTTGTATAAAGGAATATTACTGTACAAGGTGTTAGGAGACAATTAGAGGTTAGCTAGATAAATTACCATTGGTAGACAAAAGGATAAGATTAAAACCCTAAAGGACCATTTGTCACAAAACCATTGGTCCTTGACTTTTGACCAAGACTTTTTTTCATCTTTATCTTGGAAAAAATTGGTCAAAATTTCTCCATTTCTTTCTTCCTCTTGGCCAACTTCCTTATCTAGAAAAGAGAGAGAGAAAACCTCAACTTCATCCTCCATTGCATGCTTGAATCTTGAGTTTTAACCGTTAGTTTTGGAAACTACACCATACAAGTGCTTATTAAGGAGGAACAAAGGTCTTGGTGGAGTGATTTTTGTAGAAGAAACCCTAAACTATCATCTTTTCTCTAGTTTCAAGGTAAATTCCCTTGAAATTTCCTTTTACTCTTGATAATTATCAATTAGTGGATTGGAGAGGTTAAATATGTAGCTTTGTGGACAAGTTTATGGTTTGAAGTAGGGGCATGGTGAATTTCAATTTTTATAGTAAATTTTCTATCCTCATATGATGATTGATGTTTAGCCATGATTTGGTAGTTGTCATGAGTAATTTTGAGCTTGAAAATTCTAGTTTTGCTTGCCTTCAAAGAATTTCAGCTAGAGTGCATGAATTTCAGTTTTAGGGTTTCCAATTTGCCCTGTTCTTCCTGGTTCTGTTTGACCATGTTAGAGGCCGAATTAGGCTTCAGTTAAAACATGAAAGTTGTAGAAAATGATGTTTTATAGCTGCCTGTAAAATTTCAGCTCAATCAGAGCACTGTAACATGTGAAATAACCGAAATATCCTTGACTGCCCATAAGCCCTGTTTCACGGACAGTTTTCTGTCTTCGTAGGGATTTCAATTTTTGACTCTGAAAATGCATAATTTATGATACGAACTCAACCCAAGAAGAACCTGTCTCGAAGAACCAAGTCGATCAGGCAGCGGAAGGATCTATCTTGATCAGGCTATGGAACAATAACTACCTTGCTAGACCTAAAGAGAACCCGTCTCTCAAAACCTAGTGGATTGGTTATTGGTTATGGAACAATAACTACCTTACTAGATCTAAAGAGAACCCATCTCTAAAAACCTAGTGGATTGGTTATTGGCTTGAAAGAACAAGATGATGTGATCATCTTGCCTTGAACACCACAAGTATCCAAGCTAAATACTTGATACTGTTCAAGGAGAAACGCAAGTTCCATCAAGGAACTCCATAAAAGGAGACAACTCTCTTTTTATTAATTCATCTTCAATCCCCCCCAATAGTTAAATAAAGTTGGCTATTTATAGCCTTACAAGACTCAAAACCCTAATCTAAATTGGAAACAATACAAGCTTCCTTATTTGACTTGACACAACTTCCTAAATAAATTTGAAAGTAATTAACTACTTTTCTAAAACTCTAATTCAATTAGAATAGGAAACTAACTGACTCAATTGGCTTAACTATGGTCAACATGACCTTAGCCTTTATTTCCCTTAATAACTCAGGACTAACTAACAAGTATTGCTGGAAAATTACTTAAATAAATAACAAGAAATAAGCATGACAAATCTTCAATGATTCTTGAACCCGATTGCACCATCAACCATCAATTGAATTTTCTTGAATTTGAAGGGAATCCAAATCTTCATGTTCTCATCAATTTAGCTTTAGAGGCCTTCATAAGAAATGTAGGTATATATATTGGCTTCGAAACGCCATAAGATACACCTCAATCGGACTTTGGTAGCCTGAGTTATTGTCATTTAATCATAGTGCGGTTAACTAGTCTGATTGTGAGATGCTGGTTCTTTAATTTGAAAGTTTGACCTAGATACACTATGAACTGGATTGAGTGGTTTTCATCAAAGTTGTAGGCCTTTATCTTAGCTTCAAAATGGTATATATTTCACCCCAATCTGATAAGCGTAGCTTCGGTTGTGTCTATTCCGCTAAGCGACGTCAAATCTGTCTTTTGTTTTCTGACTTAAACTTCATTTCCGGACATTTTCCTAGCTTGAATTTGTAATTGTACAACTTTGAGCCTATTGAATGGCTATTGAAATGAGATTATTTTGTGTGTGACTTTAGGATTGATTGAGGAAAATAATAAAGACATAAATGACTGCAAAATAGGTAAATACAGAGGGCATGCTGCCTAAAATTTTAGGGCTACGCGATTCCTTCAAGTTGAATTGATCTTGGTAAAAATGAAGGGGTTTTGGGGGTTGTTTGTAACCCTAGGACCAACTGTTATCTTTTTGCTCAAAAGTCATATGTTATTCTTTTGTACTAGTACTTAACTTGGGATGGCATACGACTTGTAGTCGAGCCTCATTTATGTATTCCATTTACTGGGTTTGTGGATGTGCGAACTATAATTATTTTATCTTGGTTATTTTAGGGTTTCTTGGCGATTAAAGCCACTTTGGGTAAAAATGTTTGAAGTATCTGTACTGGAACTGGTGAATGTACCACTCCCCTCATTTGTTGCTTAACTTGGTTTCTGCACCTGCAATCTGTGATTTGAATGACTGTACTATCTGTTTATTCTGTTTGAGATGAGAGTGTATTTTATCACACTCGTTCTCTTGTTTGTCTGTATGCCTATTTACTATGTGTAATCTGTTATTTGTATTTGAGTCTGTTCGGACGTTGTTTGGAGGTTGGTATCCAACGACCTTTCTGTGACCTCTGAACTCAACACCTGCGGCTAGTTACTCGAGTCGGCCTGGTCGATTAGATAACGAACCACAGTAGTCTGTTTCTAAGAATCTTTGGATATTGAGACTCTTGATTCCGGTATACTCGAGTATTACCACTTCTGTTTCTGTTGAGGTGTTCGGCCCCGGTAAGGGGTATGTTTGGTGGACAAAATTTGGTGTAAAGTGGGGTCTACGGACATGTTAGTTCTATATACATTGACGGAGAGTCAACGGGTTTGAATCAAGTTCTGCCATGAAAATTTGGCTCCTGAGAGCCACCTGTATCCTTTCTATTTGAATCATTGTGTCTAACTGCTTTACTTTATATCTGGCATGTATATTTGATTGGTTAAACGCGAAATGCCAAGATTTGACTACTATTATTTTGGTACCTCATTGAGCGTAAGCTCACCCCCTTCCCGTTATCTTTGTTTTCTTTTCAGGGGCAAACTTTGAATCTTTGATTTTGGAAGAAAGGGTCGAGCTAGTGTAAATATTATTTTGTTAAGCTCTTTTGTAACAGAAGCCCGAATTATATTTTTAATTGTATGAATACTTTGGTTTGTACTTTAGTTTAGTTAATTTGTTAAAGACTCCGATGTAAATATATGTATAAGTGTTTCATCTTGTCTATTAAGTGTATTCTTTTGAGATATTATGATTTTATGGTTTGTTAAGTATGTTCTCACCTTAGTAGTCTCTGATTGTTCGTTTTCTTTAGGAACTATTGCACGCACTATATTAGGTTTGTGTGATTCGACTCCGTAGTCCTGCCGAGAGATGGGCAGGCGGTCCGCTAAACCCTTTGGTTCGCCTTAAGGGGAGGTGAGGCTGTCACAATAATTATAATGTTAAAGGAAGTACATTATTGGTTTAGTGCACAAGTGTAACTAACGAGAGAGAAAACAGTGGCACGACACCCGCGCGCGCGCACTATTCTTAGTTGACTTTTGTAGGATTTTTGGCCACAAATTCCTTAAGCTTCCAAAGAAAGCTTCACAACACAAAACCCTCTCTCTCTCCTCACCTCCCTTGGCCGGCCGAACCATCAATAAAAAAGAAAGGAAAGAAAGCTTCTTCATCTTGTTCAATTCTTGCTCCAATTCACCTCCAAAATTGCAACCAACCTCAAAACCACTTGGAGATTAACTTGAGCTTGGAAAAGGACATCATCTGGTGGAAATTTCTTGGGGTTTTAGTGGTGAAATTTTGTGGTTTCATCAAGGTTCAAGAGGTAATCATCCACTCTGTAGACACCAAATTTTTAAATAATTTTTATTCTATTTTAATTTTGTTTTTAGTGATAATTCTTATCTATTTTTATTTGTTAATTTCATGTTTTTGGTTTTAGACTTTTTTTTTAGCATTTGTATAGCATTTTAGATTATTATTATTATCTATTATTTTATTTTAGTTTTTATTTTTTTTTGTATTCGTTTTTGCCCTTTTAGTTGTTTATCTTTATTTTTAAGACTTTTAGCATAAAATTTGTCAAAAGAGAAAATTATTCACAAAAAAAATAAAATATGTTTTATTTCTTTTTTACTGTTTATTAATTACAAAAAAGAGGAAAAATCATTAATCAAACACAGAAAAAATTTTAGCCTTTTGTTTTATCTTTTGTTCCTAGTTTTTGTTCATTTTATTCAAGTTTTTATTTAAATTGTTATTTTTGGTTATTGTTGTTTAATTAAATAATTCATGAAAAAAAGAGAAAAAGAAGGAAAAATCGTCAATCAAAATTAAATTTTTTAGGGCATTTCATTTGTTTTAATCTTATTTTTATTTGACTTTTACGGCTTTATTTGTTAAAAAAAAATGAATGATGAAAATGAAAAAATGAAAAAAAGATAGCTTCTGCAGTTTCTTGCCTTTCTTCTATTTTCATTACTGTGTTTTCTGGCTCCGTTAGATTAGGCAAGTACCGGCCATCTGGCTCCATCTAGGAGCTCCAATTCAAAGCCATGATCAATGGCTAGGGGGGGGCTGGGAATTGAAATCATTTGTGAGCCATCAAGATGAATTTTGAGGGTTTTAGGGACCTGGTGATTCCCTATAAAAAGAAAACAGACGGCAAG